TGGTACTCTCCCTAGTAAATTACAAGAAAAAAATTATAAAGGTTTATTTAATAATTAAGGTTTTATTAATATTAATAGTCTTTTTAACTATTTAGCTAAAAAACTTAAAAATCTAGCACTTAAAAAATATAAATTAAATACTTAATTTTTAGACCTTGCCTAAAAAAAGATAAATATTTATTTTTATTACCTGCGTAAGTATTAAGGGGTGTTAAATTATAGCTAGCTATAAAATATTTATTATACTATTATTTAATAACTTATGCGCTAAAACCTATTTTATTAAGCCTAGTATATTATATTAAGGCCTAATTACAAGTACTAACTAATTTTATATTTATATTATATAAAGTACGCCTAGTAAGAAGACCACACCTACTTTTAATATATAAATATTAATATTAACCAAGCGCTTTAAGATAAACAGGAAGTAAATATTATTTAGGGATTATTATTATTAAATATAAAAAATAATAATAATTATACTAAGGTTTTACTAGGCATGTATTAAAAAAATAAAATAAAGGCATGGCTAGCACGGGTAAAGGCGTAAAATAATATTAATAACCTTTTTAATCTAGTTAACCGCGTGAAAGACAAAAAGTAAACTAAAAATAATACTAAATATTTTTATATAAACTAAAAAAAAACCCCTGCTTATAGCTTATTATATAAATTACATACTTATTAATACTATATAAATTTACTAAACTAGCTATAAAAATAAGGCGCATGGTATTATCCTAGTATATTACTATGTTAGCTAACTATTAAATACTTAAAATAGTAAAAAAAAGCACCTAAAAAAAATTAGCTACTATATATTATAACCTTATGCCTGGCCCTACCTCCCTGTCTAGTTTTTTAAATTATTATTTAAAAATTTTATAGTTATTTACCCTAACTATCTAACTCTAAGGGCTAGGAGCTATTAATAATATTTTAGTAAAATATTATAAATAAAATTTAGCCAAGGTAGTTAATAAAATAAAGCTAGTATTTAGCCTAAATATATTTATTAGGTATAACTTTTTTAAGTCCTAAAAAAAAAAGGCTATTTTTATTATTATAAATATATACATGCGGTTTTAAAAACTAAAAAAAAAGTATTTTAGTAACTTTAGCTATAATTATTATAAAATAGCACTACTTCTTGCCTTTATTTTTGCTTATATAACCATGGCTATTAAAAAAGTATTAAATAAAGCTAAGCCGCCTATTAATTATTATTAGCGCTTTTTACCCTAGTAAAACTAATAAGCTCTAAAACATGTTTACTAAACTACTTAATTATTACCTATATATAATATTAATAAAAAAAAAAAAAAATAAAAAAGGTAAAAAAAAAGGCCTAGCAAAGGCTAGTTAAGTAAAGTATAGCTAGTTATTATACTTTAAAATATTACCTTAAAAAAAAATAAAAAATATAAGTAAGAAAAAGTCTTGCCTACTAGCAAGTTTTAGCCCCCCCTTAAAAAAATATAGTAGGGTTACACCCTAATATTAATTTTTATAATACTTATAGCCTTGCTACCAGCCTTTTATACCTAGTTTATTATTTACCCTAATATATATATTTTTTTTTTACTATTATTTCTACCTATACTACGTACTGTCCAGTCCTAGGTTTCTACAATTATTTGGCTCCTTTAGCTCCCATGCTCTAGTACTGCCCCTCCACACTAGCTACTAAATAATAAAAATAATTATATAAAAAATATTATAAGATAATATAACTAACTTAGCATAAGAAGCTATTAAAAACCTATACCTATTTAAATTTATAAAAGTATTAATCTTACTTACTAAAAGCAAAAACCCCTACTACTATATATCAGTATTAATTACTATTAATTTTATAATTAAAACTAGTAAAAAGTAGGACACTATTTTTAAGGTATATACCCTATAATAAATTTATAAAGAAATTATGCTAGCTTTTAAAAAAAAGTATTAATTTATATATTACCTTTATATAAAGTAACTAGGGGAAAAAATTAGTATAAAAACTAACTTATTAAATAATATACTACGCCCTTATGTTAAATTTATTTTAAAAAATTACTTAAATTTAAAAAATATTATAGTAAGTAAGGCTTACTTTATATAATTTTAATAAAATATTTAACCTTCGCGCCTAAAAAATATACTAGGTATTTATTAATATTATTATAAGTGTCCCTAGCTCCCTAAGTTATTTTTATACCTTAATATTATAAAAGCTGCCCGCGGCACTTTTTCTAGTAATTTATAAAACAAAATTATAAAAATATATTTAATAATTATAAATTTATTAATATTAATAGCTTTTTTAATTATTTAGCTAAAAAACTTAAAAATCTAGCGCCTAAGGGGTATAAACTAAATATTTAATTTTTAAACCTTACTTAAAAAAAATAAATATTTATTTTTATTACCTGCGCAAGTATTAAAAAGCGCTAAATTATAAATAGCTATAAAATACTTATTATATTATTATTTAATAATTTATATACCAGGACCTATTTTATTAGGCCTAGTATATTATATTAAGGCCTAATTATAAGTATTAATTAATTTTATATTTATATTATATAAAGTACGCCTAAAAAAAAACCATACTTACTTTTAATATATAAATATTAATATTAATTAAGCACTTTAAAATAAATAAAAAGTAAATATTATTTAAAAATTATTATTATTAAATATAAAAAATAATAATAATTATACCAAGGTTTTACTAGGTATGTATTAAAAAAATAAGGTAAAAAAGTAGTTAATATAAGTAAAGGTGTAAAATAATATTAATAACCTTTTTAATCTAGTTAACCGCGTGAAAAATAAAAAGTAAACTAAAAATAATAGTAAATATTTTTATATAAATTAAAAAAAAACCCTTATTTATAACTTATTATTTAAATTACGCACCTGCTAGTGCCGCATAAATTTATTAAATTAGTTATAAAAATAAGGTATATAATACTACCCTAGTATATTATTATATTAGCTAATTATTAAATACTTAAAATAATAAAAAAAGGCACCTAAAAAAAATTAATTATTATATATTATAATTTTATGCCCGGCCCTACCTTTTTATTTAGTTTTTTAAATTATTACTTAAAATTTTTATAATTATTTACCTTAATTATTTAATTCCAGGGGCTGGGAGCTATTAATAATATCTTAGTAAAATATTATAAATAAAATTTAACTAAGGTAGTTAATAAAATAAAGCTAGTATTTAACCTAAATATATTTATTAGGTATAACTTTTTTAAGTTTTAAAAAAAAGGCCATTTTTATTACTATAAATATATATATATAATTTTAAAAGCTAAAATAAAAGTATTTTAGTAACTTTAATTATAATTATTATAAAATAATATTATTTTTAGCTTTTATTCCTACTTACGTGGCCATGGCTATTAAAAAAGCATTAAATAAAATTAAGCTACTTATTAACTATTATTAGTATTTTTACCCTAGTAAAACTAACAAGCTTTAAAATATATTTACTAAACCTTTTAATTATTACCCGTACATAATATTAAAAAAAAAGTAAAAAAAAAGCTTAATAAAAACTAGCTAAGCAAAACATAGCTAGCTATTATATTTTAAAATATTATTTTAAAAAAAAATAAAAAATATAAGTAAAAAAAAGTCTTACCTACTAGTAAGTTTTAGCCCTTTTTTAAAAAAAATATAGTAAGGTTATACCTTAATATTAATTTTTATAATATTTATAGCTTTACTACCTACCTTTTATACCTAGTTTATTATTTACCCTAATATATATATATTTTTTTTATTATTATTCCTACTAGTATTACATACCATCTAGTCTTAGGTTACTACCATTATTTAGCTCCTTTAGCTCCCATGCTCTAGTACTGCCCCTCCACACTAGTTTTAAAAACTAGCCTATTGAGGAAAGCCTAAGAGGTTTTAAGAACTATTTTTAGTTAATAAAAAGTTATTTTTTTATTTTTCTTCCTATTTAACCTAAGCTTTTTACTATATTTAGTAATAATAAACCTATATAGTCTAGTGGTATAGATTACTATATAATTTAAATAAGCTAGGGGTTTAATCCCCTTTATAGGTTAAAATAATTAATTTATTTATTAGTTTAAACACGTGACTTACTATTAAATTAAATAAATAATAATAAACTTTATATAACTAGTTAATATTATATCTTAAATTAATACTAGTAATAAATATAATAATAAAATATATATTAAGGTAATCACGTGACTTATAAAATATTTTATTATTATTTTTAAATTTTATAAAATATCAAGTTTTTTAATATATATTATTATATTATAATATATATTAGGCTTACTAATATATTTTCTTATTAATATATATTATTATAAATATAAATTATTATATAATAATTTGTATTATTATTAAATATATATTAAATTTAATAATTTAAATCTTCTTTAATATGACTTTTCGACTATATTAAGCTCTGATATGTATCAGCCGGCTAATACAAATATGGGCGTGCTAATACGGTATCCCAACCCCCCCCCAGCGCCTGCATGGGTGTACGTAGTGACCATACTACTACATAGTTTTCGCAGCTCTTGTTCATCTCATCTTTTCTACGGCAATGCTACCAAGCGACTATGCGTCTAATTATACCAGACAGGCCTTGCCGGCGCCGAGTGCGGAACTGCTCCCAGAGTGTTTGGCCTCGGATAACGGGACTGAAAGTGAAACTAGGATCTGAATGTACTCTGTAGCAAAGAATTAGTATGTATATCCACCCTCCTTTGTTCCACGATATCGGTTAGAAACTGGAGCTTGATTAGTCCATTCCAACAAGGATTGGGCAAAGAAGAGGGTGGAGCGAGGCCAAATCCTCGGCTTGAGCAGCAACCGAGAAACCGGGGGCGAGTGCGGATGCGGGGAAGCTCTCCTCTTTCCCAAGGCCACCATGACCACTATGCACCATGACCACCTCAACACTTTATCCTGAGGTCATTTAAACCCAAGACACTATGCAGCAGACACCCGTTCCCCAAGTCGGCATCTGGCAGCTCCTCTTCGAGCGCCGAGACCGTCCCTTTCCCGAAAGCCATGGTAATTTCTTCCCCGCATCTACATATTTGTGTCTAACTTCTCAAGTGATTTTCCAGGACGGCGCGTCGAAGACCTCATACACGTTCAACGACCTCCGGATACAATCGGAAAAGTTTGGCAGTGCACTGAAGACGCAATGGGGGTTCGAAAAGGGCGATGTTCTGGCCCTGATGTCCCCGAATTGCATTGACACTCCGGCTGTCACCTGGGGGTGCCATTATACAGGGGGCATTGTTGCGCCAGTCAACCCCGGGCTTTCACCACGGGAGCTCCAACTGCAGTTAGTACGCAGTCAGGCGAGGGGAATGGTTGTTCATCCAAGCCGTCTGAGCACCGCATTAGAGGCGGCCAAACTAGCTAGTCTGCCCAGTGACCGGGTTTTGGTATTGGGTGGTCGGGACGACAGTGGCGCCGGGAACACAACAGCTCGATTTATAGACTCTGCGCTGTCAGACCCTGTCGGACCTGTCCATATTGACCCTGACGATGTTGCGTTCCTGGTCTACTCGTCTGGAACGACGGGGCTTCCTAAGGGTGTGTATTTGCGGAAACACTTTGCAGTGACAGAGGCTATTTGGATAGTGCTAAGACTCTCGCCTCCAGGCGTCATGATATCCCACAGGAACGTTGTCGCGGATGTCGTCCTGCAAGCAGCAATAGAAGGACCGCATGTCAACTGGAGCAAAGACCGGACGCTGGCAGTCCTCCCAACGTACCATATATACGGTATGTCCCAGCACTTTTCCCTATCTTCAGCTCAAGAGCTAATTGACTAGGTCTTATATGCCTCGTGCATCTCCCCGTCTGGCTCGGCACGTCAACTATCTTCATGGAGAAGTTCGACCTCCAGACATTCTGCCGGCTCATCCGCGAGCACTCAATCACACATGCATACGTCGCACCGCCAATTGTCCTCCATCTCGCCAAGAACCCCTCAATCAACGGCCGCGATCTATCTTCACTCCGCATGATCACATCCGGCGGAGCACCTCTCGGGGAAGCACTCATCCACGAGACATACGACCGGTGGAAGATCCCCATCCGTCAAGCATACGGGCTCTCCGAGACAACCTCCGTCTCACACATTCAGGTCAGTCCGATCAACCCCATAGCTCAAACCAACATTAACCCCATCAGCGCTGGGACAGCTGGAACGTCGGCATCGGCTCCAACGGCCCCGTCATCCCGGGCGTGCAAGCCCGAATCGTCCCGGACTCCAACCCAAGCAAGACCGCGGCCCTCAACGAAGAAGGCGAGCTCTGGATCCGCGGCCCCACCGTCTTCAACGGGTACATGGACGACGCGTCCTCAACAAAAGCCTGTAAAACAGCAGACGGGTGGTTCCAGACCGGCGACATCGGCTACGAAGATGCGCGGGGGAATCTCCACATCACCGACCGCGCCAAGGACATGATCAAGTTCAAGGGGTTCCAGATTGCGCCGACGGAGCTGGAGGATATTCTGATCGAGCACCCGGCCGTCCGTGACGTCGCTGTTATCGGGATCTGGAATGACGAGATGCACTCCGAGGTCCCGTTGGCTTATTTAGTTGGGAAGGGGGGCGTAAACGAGACGGATCCGGACCATGTTGCGTTGTCGGTTATGGAGTACCTTGGTCAGAGAGTCGTGCATTATAAGCACCTGCGTGGGGGCGTTATCTGGACGCATCAGATCCCGAAGAGTCCGTCCGGGAAGATATTGAAACGGGCGTTGAGGGATCGCGTCGGGACGGTCGATAAGGGGAGGCGGATTCTTGCGCCTGAGTATGCGCGGTATCGGTCTGCGAAGCTATAGTCCTGTATGTATAAATGGGCACGCAGGCTGAGGTCGCAAGAAGTTCCTTCCTATTCGAGCACTCACTGCCGGCGGTCGCTCCTTCCTCTCGTAGTTGTGATAGATACCATCAGAAGGAAGGTGCGATGCCCTAGACGAGTTTAGTCGTACCTTCCTCCGCTGGACATACATTATGGCGGTAGGGGAAGTGAATGCGAGATTGAATGCGACATTGGTTTGGTGGTGAGAACGGAGCCTTGAGGAACTGACCGCGGCATTATCCATAAGAAGCTATCTGAGCTACGTACAAGAGGCGAATCATCAATAGTCTCAGTGTTAGCCTGTACCCATAATATGATTCTTTGCTTGGTGTTTCACATTCAAGGAGTACAGGATTCTAGGAGAGGAAATTGGCCGAATGGGCCTGTGGGAGTAAGCAGCCCGAGTAGAAGCAGGGGTCTCCGATACCGATACTAGGTATGGCCGGCCATTTGCCCTTTCTATCCACGCGAACCTCAGACTGGAGTGCTATATCCTATTCTCAATATCCGCCCCGTTGGTCCCCGTCATCCGGATGCTGACAGCGAGTATCACCATTTCTCTCCGTCTCGTAAATCTGAATCGGGCAAGATAAGTCTCGCACATGCATCATGTCTTCGGGCCTCCAGGTTGCTGCACATGCTCTCGGGCAACTCATGCGACTGGTAAGGCTACATCAGTCCTCCGGCTTCAAGCAATATGCTAATGCAATCCCCATCCTACCAGGTATCTCTCTGTATAATCGCCCGGATAATCTACAAGGTGCATTTCCACCCGCTCGCCAATTTCCCAGGTCCATTGTTGGCGCGGTCGGCATTGGTAAGCCTTTTATTCCTGGTGCTCCCGAGTAAACACTCCTCACAAGCTCAGCTGTGGCGGTTCTTCCACACCACGCGAGGCCGCTTCCATCTGGCCGTCGCAGACACTCACAGGGAATACGGTGAGTCCTCCTTTGCAATTTTCCTTGTTCCTCTTCTCCTATTCTTACTCTTTTTTCAGGCCCCGTCGTCCGCGTCTCCCCCAACGAACTAACCTTCAGCTCCGTCACCTCCTACAAGGACATCTACGGCCACGGCACCGGCAGCAAGCAGGGCCCGCTGAAGAGCGAATTCTGCATCTTCGGCGCCGGCTTCAAGGCGGCCTGCATCGCGAGCGAGCGCGACCCGCTCAGACGCCGCGGCATGCTGTCCACGCTGGCCGTCGCCTTCTCGGCCAAGGCCCTCGTCAAGCAGGAGGGGATCATTGCAGACGCGGTGGATGGGTTCGTCGATAGGATTGGGAGGGATGGGGGGCGCTGTTGGG